GCCTATTTTCCACTGAAATCACGGATCATACAGAAATTGCACTCGCCTTCTAGGATCTAACCCTAGAATATTTATGTACATGCTCAACACAGTCTTCCCTCCTTGTCCACTGACAACGCAATCCATGCCAAGGTAAGGGCTGCATCGTCAATGCTTCACACAACAGTGAACCTTCCTCTTGGAATTCAAAATGTAATAACACCGGGAATCATACCTCCCTCCCCACCCCTCCTCTCTCCAGCAGCAATGTCACTTTGGGTGACTGGCAACGTGATCCTCCACTGCTGCTTCTTTTTTTGAGTAAACGCCCTTAGTAGTAGAAAAGGTGCAAAACGGGTTAATCAGTGGGGAGTAACAAGAGTTTTTGTAATAGGGATGTATTTGAGGAAGAAGCCAAAGATGTAGATATATTCAGAAGTGAGCGATAAAACTCCAAACATTAGATGTTAGACATTAGATTCTTCCTACAGAGACTTTGGTAGATGTTAGTTCCAGTGTCACCAAAGTAAAGTAATTTCTAGGACCAGAGAGTCAGATTTAGATACTCTTACAACTTTCTGGCATTTCCTTACTTTTGCTAGAATTAAATAAAATCCATGCCCTGGTCTCAGAAATTGTGTTTGACAATACAAAAATGCCCCAAACCAGAGGCGATTTCGGATTTTGTGGCTCCCATCTGCAGAGGCTGTTTCAAATGACTACATCCAGCCTTCCTGTCTGCCTGATAGAAGTAACTTAGAGAAACACACCAGATCCTACAATACGTCAAAAACATACTTCACATGGAGTGCCCACTCACTGATGGAAGACATGGAAGAAGTAACACACTTGAGCTTTGACTATGAGGTAGCACAGTTAGTGTTCTCAAAGGAATTTGGATGTCAGCTTTCCACAGATTTCGTATATCCTTCAAAACCTGTTCTTTGTCATTCTGCACAACAGCCATTTCCATACCTCATAGCTGTGTTGGGCAGAGATGTACCTGCTAATGTCCCCGGTGCCCCAGCTGTGGATGCTAGGGGATGTGCTCTTCTTACACACCCTTCCCTAAAGACACTTGATTGGTCTCTTTTAATTTATTTTTCATGTTATTTACTGGTTCAAATGGAAGAAAGTTGCCACTGACAAGCTAATCACCAGATTCTACAGCCTCTCCTTGGCTAGTGCTCAACCTTTCCCACCCGGCCAGTATTCTCCCCACAGCCCCACTGGCTCGTGCTTCTCCTCCCATACCACTGCCAGAGACTACAAGTTCTGATCCAACATAGCATTTGTTAGTTTCTTAAAACAACCAGACTAAAGACTGAATGCCTTCAGACAGTTCTGGCTTCTCCTGAGTCATAAACATATATACCTACACACCAGTATATATAAGAAACCTAAAAAACTAATTAGTGTTCCTTAATTGTCCACTGAGATACCCCAAGACAGCCTACTTTTCAAATAGTGCTGAAGTCCTCGAATCAGGTAATGTTAAAGGTTTCTGAACTGAAACACCCTGAGATGTTTTAGAGAATTGGGGCTGTTTAGTTTGCTGAAGGGAAGGCTCTGTGTGACCTTTCTATACTTAAAGGGGGATTATAAGGAAGACAGAGACAGACTTTTTACAAGGGCCTGTAGTTATAGGACAAGAGGGGTTTAAATGTTTTTTAAATAAAATGGTCAAATTTAAACCAATGGGTTTTAAATAAAAGAGGATGGATTTAGATTTCATACAAGGAAGAAATCCCCTGTATATGAGAATGATGAAACACTGGCACAGGTTGCCCAGAGAAGCTGTGGGCTGCCCCATTCCTGGAACTGTTCAAAGCCAGGTTGGATGGAGCTTTGAGCTGGTCTAGTGAAAGGTGTCCCTGCCCATGGCACGGAGTTGGAACTAGATAATCTTTAAGGTGCCTTCTAATCCAAAGCATTCTAGGAGTCTGTGAAACGGAGACATTCACATCCTAGTTAATTTGGGTAATTTTAGGTAAAGAGTCTTCTGGACTTAACATATATAAAAAGAAAAATGAAAAGGTTCAAGACTGAAAAGTCTATTTTTCCTTAAAATTACCTGCTGATATTATAAGTATGATAAAAATTGGGGCTTTAAATGTTCAAAATTACTTAGAAGAAAACTGAACAATGGCTTGTAATGCATCTAATACAAAACTAAAAGCCCTAAAAGATGCCCACATATTTATATACATATTAGTTGGTTCCAGCCTTCATTTGAAAGTTTAGTTGGATATTTTTGTGAAAGTTTAAAAATAATATTATGGACAATATTACCTTTCTGGAATGAAAAAAACTTAGATAAAGAATAGGCTACTGTATCTTCAAAAAGTAGCACGTTTCTTAAGTTCCGTGTGCATTATATTTGCAATTTACATGGCGATTTGTAACAGCAGTGCTGCTCCCTGGGTGTTACTTACTTTGGATGGACTTCTCTAAGGGTGAGTTTACACAGCTGTGGAAGGAAAACCTAGCCACAATCAATTAAAAAGTGCAACACAAATCCTTTGGACAGCATTCTCAGGCTGTCCTGCTGTTGAGACAGCTACTATTTTCCAAGAATGAGTACTCTAACTGTATTAAACTTAGGCCTAACCAAAATAAGCTTTTACTAATTTTCACCATTTAAGGAACATAAAGACCTGCCTTTGTCATTTAAACTTTAAGCTGACTAAGCCTCATAGAAACAGAAGGTTATGGAACTAAAGCAATTAATTCCATTTACAGAGGTCAGAAGAGTCTCTAGGTTTTAGACATCATGGGCTTGTATGGTCTGTGCTTCTTATTCATGTGAACTCTCAGATTATGGTTTGTTAGGTGGCAAAATAAGTCACCTTTGTTTTCCTCTTGTCAGCGGAGTTTAGCTGAGCTGATCCTAACAGGTCACCACTGTGCTGGCATTACCTGTACTTCTGATTACAGAACAACTAGAATAAGCAGGCAAATGAGACCCCAGATGCCCTGTCTTTGTGTGGGACATATTTATAAGCAACTTGCTGAATCCGACACACAAAGAAAGCCTCAGGGAATATAGTATGTCTACAAGCCAATGCAGAAAGCACTGAGAAAAAAAAGAAAAAAAGAGGATAAATAAGCAGGCAGCTGAAAAGCCTGAAGTCTAACTAACTCACCAGCACATCAATAATACAATAATGTCGTCAACCCACTGTGGCCTCTGAACAATGCTTTTTCTGTTCTTCAGCTAATTAGTAAAAGAAGAGATTAAAGTCTTTAATCTCACTTGCTTTCTCTTTCTTCCCTCTTTTTACCTGGAGGATGTGCATGTATGTGTACATACGTATTTCCTAAATGAACAAAGAGGAAGTACATACATTAAGATGTGGAAAACACGAGGTGGAATGTGAGTTTGGCTTTATTTCCAACAAGAGGGTCATCTACATGATTTCACATTTCCATGTACTGCGACTGCAAGGAGTCAGATGCATGTCTATGTTATAGGGTGGGAGGGGAGGGGGGAAGCTGAACTGAGGATATGAATTTTAATCAGTTTCCTGAATGAATACGACACTGTATTTCCCCCTACTCTCCTCAGGATGACAATTCAGAGGAGATAACCTTCTCCTTTGAAAAACTCTGAAGGGAAAGTTTGTTTTTACCATAACAAATGCAACAAAAGAAGAGAGAAGCTGGGAAAGAGAAGGGGGGGGTGGACAAATTAAATGTCAAACTTTCTCTCCTTACTTGGAGATAACAGCATACTAGGAAACCTTCTTAGAAGCTTAACATAAATGCAGTTAAGCTGTTGCCAGCTGCAGTAAACCTCTCTCTCACCTTTCTTTCTCTCTTTCAAGATATCTTTGAATGCCTTCGCCTTCATCATAAATCAGACCTTTGAGCAATTATCACTCCAGCCGGATGGCAGCAGCCTGAGTGGCCACTGCTATTCCACTGCTGTAATCTGCACTTTGTCAGGTTACACTACCCTTGATGAAATTTCACATTTCTTTGCCAATGAGCGTTACCTCTCCGTTTATGACTCATTGTCTTTGCAGCAGAGAGCTGTGAATGTCATTCCTCTCCTTGTAATTTGTTTAAGCAGCATGGACCATTCGGCAGGGCTGAGCACCTTCAGCACCTCACCGGGGAGTCTCAGAGCATCCCAGTAGGATGGGGTTGTGCTGCTGCCTCAAATACTTACCCCGAGGGCATCCCTCAGCGCCTCTGAGAGAGACCGAACACAGACACCTTCCACTGGCCTCTGAAGAGGCCACCATCAGTACTCGGTGCTGATAACACTGTCACAACTTTCAAGAGAACTGTGCATTTTTGCCATTCCCTTTCCCATCCACGCAGCCCTTGGGTGACAGGTTCTTGACAGGTTCCCTTAGCCCCTAGGCTGCACCTTGCCGCCCTCACTGAGAAGGGGGGGCTCTTTGGCGAGTCTTTCGGGCAGGAGTTAATAAAACAAAAAAGGCAAACAACACCAAAATTTCACCCCATCAAAAAGGGACCGGGGTCCAACCTTCAACTCCGGCAAAGTTTCTGAGTGCTGCCCAGGTACCACATGGGGTGGGCGCGTCCCTCTTCGCAACACCCACAAACACCCACGCAGCAGCACGGACCTTCCCCCCAGCGCTGCATTTTTCAACCTTTACGAGGCGATTTTTAGCCCCCCCCCCCCCCCAAATTTTTTTTTTCCAACCCCCCCCCCCCCCCCTCCGTAACAAACCAACCCAGAGAGCACACCCGCTCCCACAACCAACCTGCATCCCCGCGCACGGCCGTCAAGACAGGCACGAAAAAGTAGGCAGAGAGAACAAGAGAGAGTCACTCACCGTTGGCGGCGACACAGAGGTTTCCAGAGCCACTTTGAACTAAGAATGACTGAGGGACGAACTCTTCCTCAGAGTCCGAGCCCGCGGCCGCCCGGGCCGCGCCGTCGCCCAGCGACCGCCCCGGGCCCTCATTGGCCGGCGGCGAGGGGAGAGGGGAGGGGGACTGCGAGCGGGGGGTGGAGGAGGCGGACGAACAGGGCAGGGGGGGACCTGCGGGCCACAGACGCACACACACACACAGAGAAGGGGAGGGGGGGGAAAAACACAGAAAGAAATAAAATGAACAAAAAAACACGGCAAAACACGGACAGAGAGACAATAAAAGTCGAGCCGGGGCACGAGGGAAGGCCGCCCCTCCCGCCCCCCCTCCCAATCCCCCCGCCCCCTGCCCCAGCGGGGCAGCCCTGCCTGAGGGGCGGCCGACTGCACGTACCTGACCACATCACCTGCTGCCCCCCGGGCTGGAGCTTAAAACTCCTATCCACACTTTAAAAGTCGTATCCGTCAGGGGTTTTTGGTTGTTTGGTTGGTTGGTTGGTTTGGTTTGGTTTGGTTTGGTTAGTTTTTTGTTTTGGTTTTCTTTTGTTTGTTTGTTTGTTTTGTTGTTGTTATTGTTTTGGTTTGCTTGGTTTCTTTAAGGTTTTGGAGTTGGAGAGAGCCCCTGGTGTGTGAGACACTTTGTGCTGTGACATGGGCTCTCACTGCCAGTGAGGCCAGGTGTTGAAGCCAGGCTGCATCTTACCAAGGGTAACCCTCACCCGACGAGGTAAATTATTTCAGATTCCATGTGAAAAGTGTAGGGTCCTTTTAGGGATTGGTTTAACCATAATCTTATCGAGCTTATAAAGCAAACAGCCTAAGACCTCCATCATTCAGGCAGGAGGTGGAGGACAGGTCTGTGTATTGCTGTGTAGTGTAGAAGCACATTAGCAAACCACCACTCTGATACAGGGCAGAAACATAGCTCAGAGCAGCATCATTTGATTGATTAAATGATGAAAAACACAGCAAATCAGGTTATAAGATTATACTTTACATAGAGCTGTGCCTGACTGAGGAAGAACTACTGACTGTAAGGAAATTCAATCAGGTACATGTAGGTTAAGTACATCCAATTGGAAAAGCATACTGTAAGCAATTAATGGTTATCAGGCTCTTATTCCAATCAGATTTTTAAACAAAACTGGGAGGTCAGTTTTTCACCAAACTGGTGAAAAATCCATCAGGCAAATGTGGAGGTCAGATATGTGCAGTACATCAATAAAAACAGGGGGAATATGAACACAGACATATAATACAGGACAATGCATTTAAACATGGGCTTTTCCCCTTGCTGAAAGTCATAATGATTAATCTCCCACATTTTCCCAAATACTGAAATGTTATCATGCAAAATCCATCAAAATAAAAGAACAGTCAGCAGAAGAAAACCAGCAAACTTAAATAAAAAATCTGTTTCTAAAAAAACCATATTTTTAACATAACATGGCACACTACATAGTTGTACAATATTTCTTACTAAACATAACATGAACACTTTAGAGAAGGACACAAACCCAAAACAATGAAGTGGGTTTAACATTTAAATCCCCCAAAGCTGGTTCTGCTATGTTTCCTTCCACCTCGATCATCAGTTCTTCTCATCCTAAGCCCTTGGATGTCACCTCCTTGACATATGCTGATCTTATAAATTGCTAATTATAATCAGAGAAGAAATTTTGGCATCAGAGGCAAAGCCTGGGAACCAGGGAGAATATAGGACGATACCTATGTCTGCTTAGAGAGACTTGTCACCCAAAGGAGAAAAGCCAGACTTGGTGGAAAGCCTACACTGCCTCCTGTGCAGCATGCAGACCAAGGGCTGAAACTGTGAGCCCTGTGTGTTTTGTTATGATCAACAGTGGAGTCGTCTGGATCTCCTTCCTTCTGACAAGTCTCCAGACAGAGAAGTTCCTGCTTTAGGAATGCAGCTTTTAGGGAATCTGCAGCCCACTTCACACTCCCTGACCCTTTTTATGGTGCCAAGGCTGTAATCTTCCCATTGTGCTAACTACTGGTAAAAACTGGAGAGAGACAGGGAAAAAAGGGAGCATGTGCAAGTGGATGAGCACTGCTTTCTCTGTTACAGTCCCTGACACGCAAACTGAGATCCAGCTCTAACTCTGATCTGCTCTTGAAAGAGCAAAGTCTGCTCTGTGTCATCTTCTTTGTTGCAATAGAGATTTGATGAGCCCTGACATGTAACAAAGTTTAAATCAGGACTTTGATTTGCTATGCCTTCATTACAAAACGGGGTGACATGTATTTCTAATCCTGTGTAGTCAGAGGCTGAATTCTAGTGTGATGATGAGTGAAATAGAAAGAAAGTGTTAAATCAGTGCCTTCCTATACATCCATACAGTTTTTCAGTGTATTTTGTAAGGGGAAGCACATTTTTCTAGCCATTAAGAAAAACAAGCTAGATTTAAAAAATTGTTTCAATCCTCTGACTCATTTATGCAAAGATCAGTAAAAATGCATTAAAAGGAGGTTCATGGTGTGACTATCTGCCAAAAAAAAACAAAAACAAAACCCAACAGTGTGGTAAATTACAGTAGAGGCCCAATGCTCTCCCTGTGTTTTGTTCAGGCAGCATGCTTGGCATAACTATACATGAATTCTCTAGTTCGAACATAAAGAGCAGGAGCAGAATGAACTGAATTTGGAATTGTAACCCTAAAAGCCAAATGTCAGCTTTTGTCAATCCACATCAGAAAGTTTCTGCCATTTCCACATGGTCGCAGGTTGTTGGGGCTTTTTTGGTATGAGCTTTCCCAGTTTCCCAGTATTACGGTTTTAACAATGATAAAAGAAAAATAAATATGAATAAAAACATAACCAAAACCTCCTCAATTATAGCTTTGGATTTTAACCAACTGCACCACTGCAGAGTGCACACGGGAAGATCTCGTGGGTTTTCACGGTCATTACATGCACTTCCAGCAGGGAATGAGCTGACCTTTACAAGGGAAGGTTCCCTAGGAATTGTGCATACTAACCATGTTACTGAGGGCTACGCTGCTCTGGAGAGCACTGGTGCATGCCACTGTGCTCCCTGGAAAATTCCCTTTTGCCACAAACGATGGGGTGGATACAACAGGAGATTTTACCAGCTGCCGGATAAAAGATGGGCGCTAATCAGCTCTGCTGACAACAACCAATGAAAATGGAAGGGAAGCAAAGGATACCTCCCTTTTTAACAATTCAACAACTCTGTTTGTAAGCATGTGTTAAGTTGTGGATCCTTTAAGAGAATTGCCTCCTTTTTATCATGCTTGGGCAGAAAACCAAGAATTAAATCTGACCTTTTCACAAAAATTAAACTGAGAGAGAGATGAAAGCTACAAGTTTGTATCCTTCTCAGACAAGAATTTCATTGGATTTACTGCAACTGCAGGCCCAAGTAAAATAAGCAGGATTTGGCCTGTAAACTTTCATTCCAGCTGCCAGAGCAAAATTTCTAATTGATTAGTACAAAATAAATTCGAAGCAACGCTGTGTTGCTATGGAACCTGAGCAAGTAGAAAAAGTTTCTTTGCAGTATGTGCTGTTTCTCCTTCAAAAATAAAAACCAGAAGGACTAGATAACACATTCATTATGCAGAGTCTTGCAGTTTGGAAGCTAACTCAAAGAAAAACAAAACAGATTCCAAGTATGGGCCCCTTGGCATCAATTTGTAACAATCTTATATATCTGCTTGCAGTGAACAGTCAAAACTATGTTCTTTGGACTTGAGGCAGGAATAATAGACGTTGTATGTCACTGTATGACTGTATGTTGCTTGCACATATTTAGAGGAAAACAGAACAGAACCTTCTATTTTATCTATGTGCCAGGACTTCAGACTAAAATTAAAAAAAAAGATCAGGGGAAGATACGGTGCAGTGTCTGTAATTTATGAAAGTACTTAGGAAGCACAAACTTTAGAAATAGGTTAGTACAAAGAATCTGTTTCCCAGCTTAACCGAGGAATTATGCAATATTCAGGTATCTGTTTTAAATTTAGGGAAGAGACAACCAGAGCAGACCCTAAACAGTTAGGGGAAAGTAAGACAAACAGTAAACATGCCTTCATTTTATGCTGCACATTTGGCTGTAATATTTCAGAATTGCTAGAATTACTCTGTCTCTCACAGGATTTGGCCTTCAGAGATCAAGAGCTGATTTAAAACGGGTGTATTCATGCTAGTGTGAATAGAAGAGCTGCCAGAAATACAGAACATTCAAGGAGATACTTTTAAAGAAGGTCAGTGAATTGTTTCATGAACTATATTCAGTGGATTATACTCATATGTTTATAATTTGTCCCAAAAGAGGTGAAAAAGAGTAGATATACAAACGCTGACTTTTCACAGAACTGAAATGACAAAGCAACTGGATAGCATTCAATATACACAGAATGGTATTATCTGCAATCAATAAATCAGTAATATCAGCTTTTTTCCCCTAATAACTTCTTCTATTAAGCTTCGTTCAAGAACCTTTAAGGGCTTTACAAGCAATGGGTATGTAAACTTTGAAATACTGTTTCAGATCTGTTGGGATCTGTTATCAGATTGGCTCCTGCAATGGTCAGAGGGCTGGAACACTTCTCCTATGAAGACAGGCTGAGAGAGTTTTGGCTGTTAAGCAGGGGGAAGAGAAGGCTCTGAGGATACCTTCTAGCAGCCTTCCAGTCCTTAAAGGAGACTTTTAGAAAAAAAGGGATAATGACTTTTTAAACAAGCAGATAGTGATAGGATGAGAGGGAACAGTCTTAAACTAAAGGAGGAGCAATTTAGATTGGATACTGGGAAGAAATTCTTTGCTGCATGGGTGGTGAGGCACTGGCACTGGTTTCTCAGAGAAGCTGTGACTGCCCCATCCCTGGACATAGTCGAGGCGAGGTTGGATGGGGCTTTGAGCAACCTGGTCTAGTGGCAGGTCACCCTGTGGGGCATTGAAACTACATGATCTTTAAAGTCCCTTCCAACCCAAATCATTCTATGATTCTATGAATTAGATTTTCTAGGAAGCAAACTTACACTTTTGACAGATAAGGAAACTGAAGCACAGAGATGTGTAATAATTTGACTCAAATTATCTATTATTAATCTCTAGCCACTGAAATAGGCTAAAAGGCTGTTTGTCACATTCAAAATATTTTAAATTAGCAGAATTCCCACCAGAAAGGAACGAAGGGTGTGGGGAGAAGTACTGTCATTGTGATTTCCTCAGTTCAACAACTGCAGTAGTTCTCACATAAGAACTTTTGCATTGTCATATCACTGACAATGCCTAGCCTTTGTACTACCTCAAAATAGGAAAGTTTCTAGGATGGTACTGTGGCACCAATGTTGGTAAGCACCATTACAAACAAAAGACATCTCAATACAGCTCTGGCCTTTAAAACATGGCTGTGCACTGTGGGTTCACATGAAGGCTGTGTAAATGATAGCAGAATGTATTCTGTAGTGTGCTGGCTGGGTGTATTATCCTGTCAAAGGAAAGAGAGTGTAAACAAATGGCTTTTTTATGTCTTCCCCTCACTTTGCATGGGAGTTTTGAGTGATTTTTTTTGACATCGAAACAAAATCTTATTGATCAATATTAAAACTGTAGCGAGCCTTGTGCTGGAGAAAACCATGACCTGCCTAAACAATGCTTAAGTACCTCTGTCTGATAAAAGAAATAAATTAATAAATTAGTCTAAAACTCAACCAGTTTCATCTCATACCATATCTGACTGCTTAAAACCGCACAAACATGAAGCAGTCCCGTAGAGCTGAGATTTTGTGTGAGAGCTGTATTTGCAAAGCGGCAAGCACAGTGGGCACCAGGACATCTGTGGATTGCTGACACACGGGACGAGGTGGAAAGGGCAGTGCCCTGCCTGCACAGCAGTGTTCGGTTCCCTGCAGAATATAAAAGGCAGTAATTTGCTCCACTAGTATTTCAGGGCATCAGAGATCCTGCTGGATTGAGGAGGGGAGTGGGAGAATATCTGCCACTTTTCAAGGTGAAGGGGAATGTAAATGAAGATGAGCCCTGGTTGTCATATGCTAGAACACTGGTTTAGCATCCACTCCCTCAGAGGTGGAGAAAGAAGGAATTTTCCTAAGGGACAAAGAGCATTCATGCCTTGCTCATGGCAGCATATCAAACCTTTCCAGTGGACAGCAAAATAGACATCCCTGGAAAAAAAGCAAGCTGAACTAGTTGTCTGGAAAAATGTGTCAGTGAATCATAGGAGTAAGGAATTGTTGCACAGATTTATTGCTGCTCTTTAACAATAAGTGGTCACAACATTCTTAGTTCAACAGGGAATATATATCTTGTGTTTAGAATTGATTAAAAAAGCAGTCTTAAAAAACTACTCTTAGTTATTTATATGTCCTGAATTTCCACCTGCACTTATGTTTATTTTATTTAATTTAATTTTGTGGTTTTGATTTATAGTTATAAAGCCAGAGGGAAAAATGAATGAAACAAAGAGGACAAATGAATATCATCTTAACAGAAAAAACCTGGGCAGCTGCCATGTCACCAAAATTAAGAAATGAGTAGTTGTGCTTTGAAAATGAGAAATATTCATATGCCCTGTATGAAAACTGGCATATTGGGGAAAAAAGGGCCACGTGAGGTTAAGAAGGACTGAATAAATTCACCTGGGCTGAAGTGGACTATGAAGAACACATGTTACATGGACTTCACCTGCCTTGTGAGTGATTTATGCTATTCTTCCACAATGTGTTTTTTTCCTCCCCTACGCTGTGAAGTTAGGCAATGTTTTTCTTTCTCCATTTGCTAGGATAGTGCATTTCCTATCAAGGCAGTTCACAAAGTCACTGTTTGCAGGGACTCGTGAACATTCTGTCAAGGGCAGACCTCGAGCAGGCCCTGCTTTGGGTGGAAAACATCTAGAATGGCAGCAGCTCTGTAAGGAATGATGCGATGCTGGGATATATAAAAGCACAGTGGTTGAATGCCTGTTATCTGCCTCTGTCCCAGCACAGATCATGGACTGAGCATTTGGGCCTTATCCAACTATTCCCAAATGAAGCAGAAGGTAGAAAGGGACAAGAAACAAGGCAGACATCAGATCTCCTTTCCCCCAGCTCCTGAGGTTACTAACCTGACCAAAAACAGCAGAAAACAATTATCCATTGAGCAAGATGGAGAGGAGCAGGGAGGAAATTGTTCCCTTCTGAAATGCAGTTCCTCCGGGGCTTGGGGTGCTCTGGAGCAGCACAGCCGCACTTATAATTTTTTGCCAACAGAAGAAAATAATACAGCAGATTTTCAGAAAATTACACGGGCAATTGCCCGAGCCGGATACTCAGCTTGCTCATTTGTAGGCACAACAGTAGAAACAGATTGTGTAAATTAGCTACACGATTTTCTACAACATCCATCTCCAAGGCTGAAATCGTGCTGTTATTTAAAAGCAAAAACAGGTAATGTAATTTCCAAGTATGTGGGAGATTTCTTGTATCTCTTTCAAAATCAAAGAAATAAGGACCAAGAAAGAAAGACTCTTTCCTGATAGAGACAGTACAAACAATCCTAATCACCACAGAATATTTATATCATGCCTTGTGAAATATTTATGCAAGTAATTCACATCATCTAAAGTTTTAAGAAAAATGCAAGCCCCTAATTGTGGATCAGCATTACAAGAGCTTCTGCAGCGTTACTCAAATCCAACTTGTAAAAGAATAATGTAATTAGTAGGCAGTCTGATGAGCTGCCCATGAAGTGGCCTCTCTCAATCTGACTCCAATGCTCTATCTGATCCAAAACACCCAACATAAAGTATGGGGTTATCTGAAAATGATTACATGCAAATCTCCTAAAAGGTCCATTTCCCTGTATTTGAACACTAAACTGTAGGCTTTACAGAAATTGCTTTCTCTAAGCTTAATGTTAACCAAAAGGTTTACAATAGCCTTGCAAAACTTTTCCTGATAGGCTTGTTCAAGGCAAAGAACCTTGTCATGCTCCTGTTACCCCAGCAGGGAAGAATTATTAAACATGGGCCACTGCAAGGTTTTTTCACCTCCTCCAGCAAATAAAATTTACACAAATACCTCTTATGGTGGTTGGCAGTGATTTTCTAAAATTAACTTTTAAGTAATGCCAGAGGAGACAAAACCATAGAGTGCTAGAAACCAACCAAAATTGCATGATGTTAGAACGCACCTACCAGGGAGCAAAACTAATTCATCCTACAACCAAAGCACCACAAAATCAACAAGTTTACCTCATGATCAGCGATACATGCTGTGACTGTCCTGGCTACTGGTGATGGGTTCTAACACACCTTGTACGTAAACCAGTACCTGACGAGTAACTATGCTGTTAAAGAATAAAATGTGTTTTTCCACCTGTTAACTAGATAACCACAAATGAGCATCTCTTGAAAGGAATGAAGGTTGCAGCTGTTAAGAGAAATTCAGGAATTGTTTGGGGAAATAGAAGGGTAATATGTCATTGTTCAGCATAGTCACAGTAGGATCTGCCTGCAGTCAGGGAAAATACAGCTTTATCTTCCAGAGGAGACTTATTCTGTCTCCAGTTTGAGTTGGAGTGTCTCATTTGTCTTCACTGACTATACAGGGAGCCTTGGGTGATCTTTACTTGTGCATAAGTGAAAGTGGCATGAACCTTGGGTTTAATGTCTAGAACTTGCCTGAAGGTAAGGTAATCTCACTGAGATGTTTTTTTCAGCTAATCCATAATTGCCCCATCATATGTGCAGACTTACCACTTCCCTTCCAAGCTCATAGACAAAGGTGCTGTGTAGTAATGGAAATGGAGACTGAACACACAGGCAGCTGAAGATAAAGGATTCACAGAAGAACTCTGAAGAAATATTATTTTATGCTTCTCTTGGGGAGAAACATAGTCTGCCTGAGTAAGTACATTCCAAAGAAAACATATGACTGCAGATCTCTGGAGTCTGACAAAGGGGTAGGAAAGGTATACTGCAGTAAAGAACTCTACCTGCCTATCCATAAGTGCTCTTGCAAGGAAATTTGGGGTGAAAAGAACGTTGCCTCGATACAATGATTGCATCTGCTTTTATTATTGTTAAAATTACTGTTGACTCTGGATTTCAACGCTGCATAAAATTAATGAACTTATACTCACTAGGGCAGTTTCCTCCTGATCTCAGCCTTTATCCCCATGAGGGTTGGATGCTTGCATACTTAAAATTGTATGGGAGTCGTTTGCCAGTAACTGTTATTCCTACATCCTAGTCAA